AGTTAAAATACACATCTCTGTGCATAGTGAGGATATGTCTTTTAATTATTCAGTTGAAGGTGGGCTCATAAATCCTGGTTGGGAACTTCCAACCTTTAGCCAGTACTTCATTGGTGAACTATGCAGACTTCAGCAAACTTAAAACAGCCCAAAAACATTCTTTTTTTTTTTTTTTTGTTAAATTGGTAAGTAAGGCACGTACCACTGATAGAGTGTTAGAAGCAAATTATGCAGTGCTGAGGAGTTCATAAGTTTTATGTGTCAGTTTTATTGTTTCAGACAGTGTGAGCCTTTTAACACCTGCAACTATCTGAACTCTGCAATTTCTTATGTGTCACACAGTGGATTAGATTTTATATTGCATGAGCAGTGCTGTAGTAAACTCAGAATGGTAATAAACTGCATCAGTCAGCTCCCTTTTCAGCAAGCTTTTTAGAGCACATATCTGGCAGTATTCAGTTGATGGACACACAGATAGAGATCGGTGTCAGCCCAGCCCCGGGGCTTCACTGGGCATTTCCTCTCTTTTGTGCCTCCCTCACAGTGTCAGTCAGAAATGCTCACGGACACAGAGACACACATGAACACACATGAAGCACTCCTTTCCCTCCATGCCCTCCTACTCATATGTCACTCAACACGGGGGTGCCCTGACCACTTCCCAAGGGGCCAAGCTGGGACTATGCTAATGCCAAAAATAACCTCTGTTAATGGAGGGTATGCAGAGGGGAGAGATCAATAGGAGTTATCAATGACACTATTAGCTTCCGGTAAGCAGACTTATTGTTTGTGTCCTGAGTGCCCCGGGCAATTTCTGATAGTTTGCACTGTCATTAAAGACATACTGTAGTAATAATCCATCTTCATTCATCATCAGATTTTTTTGTTTTGATTTAGCAAGAAAAGCACAAATGGCAAATGTTCAAGCAAGAAAACCCCTAAATCTATACTCCTGCTGCAGAAATCCTAAGTGGCTTCTGCACTGTTTTTCAAACAGATACAGTAGTTACATTTAATAGATCACCACAAAAAAGAGCATAGGTGGAATAATTACTATTTGGATGATGACAATGCAAATGTAGCAGCAGGGCTCAACAGCCTGTTATTGAAAATATAAAACAGGATATTTCCAAAAACAAATTTCCTATTGGGAAATAAGGGATGTGTAGTATTTTTTTCTGCATTAGGCTTTTGTCTGAAGGAGCTTCCAAAGCTAAGGATCAAGGACACAACACAGTTTAATCCAGGGCTATAACAGACAGCTCTACAGAAACAGCGGCTAACCAGTCAGGAACAGCAATATGCTTCTGGGGCTAATAAACCCATAGAGTGTATTTTTATGTATTCTCTGTCTCTGCTGATGACCAGTTACTGCTCTCTCTAGACATTCCAACCACAATAAAAAGCTGCAGCAAGGATTGTTTGTTCATGTCTAAACCAAATCATATATTTCAAATTTATTTTCAAAATTTTAAATAATGCTATTAGCTTAAATTGACAGGTTGTATTGGTGTTTATTAGCAAAAATCTAGCAATGCCTTAATAAATACATAGTCTGTGAAAGTCTAGTTACATCATATAAAAATTGAGAGCATTTTCATATAGCTTAGAAGTAGTGGTGTATAAATACATAAGGGGCGGTGCACGCAATGGGAGCATGTTGTGCCACATTTTTTATTAGAGAACCCGAAAGAGGACAAACCTCTTGGCCGAGTTAAAACAAGCAAAAACAACTATGTATCATTCAATCTTCCACTTTGTATGCAAGAGGCAAAACAAACAAATCAAATAAAGGTAAAAAAAAATTAATAACCAGGAAAAAATACAACATTGGTGCAGATTTTATCAGGTAGAGGCAATTTATGAGGGAGTGAACTTCAAAGTTGACACTGAGGTCACACGCTTCCTATTGATAGGTGCAGTGATTCAACATAACACTGAAGTTTATTTTGCTGTTATGTTAGAAACAAGGCAGATAAGGCTAGTTTATTAGACTACATTGGACAAGCTCAGATGCAACAATTATTGGCTGTTGATAGTAGATGTCACTCCGCGGCTTCCTAGTAGATCTCAAAGAGAAGGCCGCGCCCCAGTCTGTCATTTGTATTTCATTTAGAAATTGAAATTTATTTATGTCACAATGGAGAAATTAACTCTCTGCATTTGACCCATCCCCTTGGGGAGCAGTGGGCTGCCACTCTGCAGCGCCCAGGGAATAGTGTGGGGTTAAGGGTCTTGCTCAGGTACCCAGAGTGCAGGTTGTGGGGATCGAACTGGGTATTTGCAACCTTCTCAAAGCGCAAGTGCACTTCTCTAGCCATCTAGGCCAACACTCCTCCTCTGTATTGTACTGTACTGTATTGTACATACTGTAGATGGTGATAAATCTTACACATTTTCCCTTTAAAGTGACCTTTCACAGCAAAATGACATTTAAGCAAAAATTAAATCTAGAAGACTCTTATGTCCCTCGTCCAGGCTTCAGCCAATCAACGATGACCGCACCTCCTCCGAAGCAAATCATCTTTCAAGATCGCCTTCATTTAGCTCTTGGACCAGCTTCTCTCTGGCATTGGCAGCGAATTTTCACCCACTTCCACCCCATCTCCTCACTCACTCTCAGACAATTCTCAGTCCTACTCACAGTCTGGCTATTTGCACCACTAGTGTCTGGGGAGGACTACTCTAATTCTTTTCTAGGTTACTCATCCAAGCTAATCTCGATTAAATGCATTGAAGTCTTCTGCCGGGGCCTGAGTGCCATATAACTTATGTATTTCATTCATGTTAATAAAACCTTTCTAAGCACAGCTTTTCTCTGTGTAAGTCTCTACAGATTAAAATTACATTTGGTGGTAATAAAATTATCTACAGACAAAACTACGCAGTGCAAGTAGCAGATTATGTTTTCACAACACTGTTTGAAAGCTACAGCATGGCATTGGTAAACCCATACTTGTAAAATAGACCTGCTTCCATTCACTGCTGTAATGTCTAGAACCCTTTCCTAAAGTTTTAACTTTTATTGCAAAATCTGTGTAGACCTGGGTTTTCTCAGAGTAGGACACCAGTCTGTCAGGTCTACAAGTTAATATCATTACTTTACAAATCTCATACTCATACTCTTGCTAGAAGCTTTGATATCATAGACATGCTTTTAATCTGCGTGATGTGTGGGTAATACACTGATCCCATGATACTTGGTTTGTTTAGAGTTGTTTCTATATATTTTAAAATATCACAATATGTTAATTATAAAAACCAAAAGTTTTTTTAGTTTGAAAGAATGATATAGGTCATATTTATGATTACCCAAAAGAATTCTAACAGCTTTCTTATCAACAAAAAAAAAAAAAATCAAACTCTATATCATTATGCTAAATCAGTTTTATTCTGATACTGATAGAATGCTAAAATGAAAAAGGATCAAGAGTTGATCCAATGCAGACTTTTGCAGACGGTTCAATCTGTAATTTGACCCTGTTTATGAGCAGAAGAGGGTCCAAAAAAAGAAGATTCATGAAAAATTCATGCTGTATATATACAGCAGACAGGAATAAAGTATCAATTAACTGCTGACATTTATACATTCATGCTTGATAAACATTTCCTTATGCCAGCAAATAAAAGGCATAAGGCCTGTAGAGGTTTGCCTTACAGTGAGAGAAAACTTATGGGTAAGGTTCATAATACACTTGTGCATCAATCTCTGCGCTGTTAGATATTTATACAGACACATTATTCCTAATAGCGAATGCATATACTGCTTCTGTGCATGTTTTAGTGGTTTTTTACAGTTAAGTGGATGTAATAGGAGTATTGCAGTACAATGTTTTCATGCAACTCACTATATATATAAACTGGAGAGATTATTTTTTTGATGCAGTGAACATTATGATGTCAGAAAGAAAAGAAAATGGACCACCAATAAAGGACAAAGTACAGATGCTCCTTTTTTTCCTTTTTCCACATTGTCTAGAGTTAATCTTTTTTTTTTTCTTGTAGTGTCCTTTCATAGCCAACCAGCAGGTATTTCCTATGATTTGGAACATCTCTGAGAATGTTCTTATTTCTTTACCTAATCAAGTCCAACAAACTCCCTATATAATTTTGTAGCATAAAGCAGCAATCAGCATCTACACTCCAATTCCTTCCGTGCTTGTTGTTTTTTCTTTCCGTTTTTGCTCATTTCTCAGGGCATTGATGTGTAGGACATCACAGCTTTCCCTCCTCCTTTTGTGCGTATGTGGAGGGGTGAAATTAGAATATACAAGCTAAGCAAAGCTCTGTGTAATTGAAGTAAAGTGTGGGCAGCATTTTCCTTGCAGCCTGTGCAAACACACACACTCATACACACACATAACAGCAGATACAGATAACTGATTACTGCAGAGGCTGTTGTCGCTGTGTGAATTGTGTTCTTTGTACTGTTATTCTCTTAGGTGATAACAGCAAAGCTTCCTTATTCGCTCATACATTCCCAACACCCACTGTGAACTGACAAATGACTTTGCATGTTTGGTTCACAGTACCAGTTCTCAGCCTGAGCTTAAATACTAACACTTCCTGGCAACATGTGATTAAGATTGCATTAACACAGAAAAGAAGCCAAATATTTCTTCAAAAAGAGGAACTTTGTACAAACATCTCGATTAAGGTAGCTTAACAGTAGGTTCTGAACAGCTTGTGGATTTTTCTTTTTTCATTCTTTGCCTCTTTGCCAATTTCACCATCAAATTGAGGACCAGATGTTGCAAAGTGAGGACATTTTGCCAGTCCTCACTTGCTATTTTGCTAATGGATAGGTTTAGAGTAAAGGTGTCAATGGGTTACGGTTAGGGTGAGGTATGCATTGGTAATGGTTAGGTTTAGGGTTAATTTTAGGGTTAGGGCATAGAAAGGGTTGAAAATGACTGAAAATCAAAGGAAGTCAATGGGAGTCAACAAATGGTCCTCACTACGATGGCAGAACAAGTATATGTGTGTGTGTGTGTCCCCACCACAGTTAGGCAGTGTCAGTCTTGACAGTGGCTTGCGAGCTCCTCCATCCTCTATGCAGCGCAGGTCCTGTGCTTCCTCTCCTAACCACAGCTTGATCCACATGTTCTCACAGGAGCAATGCAGAGGGTTCCCTGACAGGATTCTGGATGCACATAAACACACACAAAGTGAAGAACCCTGACAAACACTGAGAAGCAAAATAAGAAAGTGTAACCCAAACTTAAAGGGTAACTTTTTGATCTCCTCTTTTGACCATACTGAGAAAAACCTAAGATATTTGAGGTAATCTTGTTTTTAACGGGTCCCATTAATATCCTGTTTGCAAGTTAACCAAAATGCCCCAAACATGAGAATCATAAGAACTTCCTACAGTTATAGTAAATAAACTGTTTACTGCCTTTTCGACTGAAATAAGTTTGACAGCTCTAGCAGTGTTCTGTTAACAAAAAGCTCTAGTTCTTTGTTCCTGGGATCCTATGCAGAATTTTCATTAACATGTATGCTATATAGTTAAAAACGACATTAAAAAGAGTTTCATTATTGTATTTCTATTTAATTTGGCAAATCGATTTCTTTAAATTTAGAAGAAGTCATATAGCATTAAAACCTTTCTTCCAAATGTCTCATTGATTAGCAAGTATTTTACAAAAAGCAACAAAAATGCTACATAAAGTTCCACATATCCAGATGAAGCAGAATTCCACACCTTTCATCCTAAAACACATGCGCTATTTAGACTGAGGACAATTAACAAACAAAACACACATATTAAAGGTATTGTGGAGGATCTTCATGAATTTTTTAAAAGACTCGCCCTCTCCACTTAAAAAGAAATTAACAAGCACAACCCAACCCGCTCCAAAGTAAGAATGTTTATTGAAAGCGTGCAAGACCATGCATAAGCCCATTTCTCCTCGTGCACGCTCTGTTTAAAAGTTGCTGTTTACATTGCTCATACAAGCTTACTTTCCAAAAGAAGATTTGCAATTTTTTCACTATGTCAGACTCATAAGAGAACGTAGGATGGCCTTATGTAAACATATCACCAGAATGATTGACAATTAGGAGGACTACTTATTGTTATGATCCTCCTGGAAAAAGAACATCTTCCACTATACCTTTAAGGAAATAATAGAACTAAACACTTTACAAAATCCTTTTTATATTTGCATACTCAGACCAACATTTCCTACATCTTTTTTTATATGTCAGCATACAGATTTTGAGGACAAACCATATCGGTTCACAGATACGGATGAACAGTAACAGCGGGGTGTTTGCAGCCTAAGGAGGGCGTAACATCCTTTTTTTAAAACTTGGTATGGGAAGTTTTGCAGGGGAAAATGTTGAAAATAGATGAGAAAACTTCCCTGTACATCATCAAGGCCCCTTTTCCTGCTGCTGACGACATTTACAGGAGGAGATTCATCAGGAGTGCCATTAAGATCAGGACAGGCCCAGCCCTCACCCTGCTGACTGTATATATCATTACACTACTGTACATGTCAGTTTCTAAAGATAAAGCTCGGGTTTTAGGTTGAGAAATCATTGTCAAGGTGGAGTAGTCAATTTTTTGAAATACTGTTGATTGGTCTTTAATATTGTTTTTGGGTAGAGGTGATCAACTCATCTGTAATCATTTAGCAAAATAGGGCTGTTGTTTGAATTATTGTCATGGACTTAAAAACAAAACCAAAAACATTAGTCTCTAATTTTTTTTTTTCTAGAACTGTATTTTGGATTTGGGAATCAGAATTTTGAGAAATATTTCAGTAGAATGCGCAAGTTAATTACATTCATTTGGTGAAACTATCGCTAAAAAATTGGAGGAATGGGGTTTTTATATATTAGTCCTTCTCGCTCTTAAGACCTGCTGACTTTTTCTCCCTCTTGAGGCTTCTACATTGGAACGTGTTAGCTCATTAGATTGCCACTCAGAGACAAAGACAAGCTGTTTCCAGATGTTGCTATTCTTTCTGCAGACAGATATAAGAGCTTTATCAATCCTGCTGATCTAATTCTCCTCCAGAAAACCCAATTATATTTTTCCTGCAAGTGCAAACCAGCTCATTTAAGAGGATTATGGGAAGTTCAGAGAAACTGTTTCACATAATCAGACACTATGAGGTAACTGTAAATGTTCTCTTTAGGAAAGCATGGGGGGTATATTTTGCACCTCAATATACTATCTAAACACTTCTCACAACAATGAGAGACATTGATCCTGACAGGTATTTTATGAGGCATGCTTGTTCAGCGGGATCCTGATTGCCTTTTGATCTAATATCTTTGCCAGCTAAATCTAGGCTTTAAAACAATCTTTTTAAAATTGACAGAAAATAAGCCCAAATTAAAACTTTAAATGACATCAGAGATCCTATCCTGTGTGTGCCAGTTTATCTGAAACAGATAAACACGTAGAAGAAGGAGATAGTGAAGGTTTCAGTTAACTCACAGATATGAGATGTTGAGGTGCTTGAATACCCTCCAGTCGAGGGATGACAAGTTGTTGTCTTTCAAATTCCTGGAGATTAAACCAAATGTCAGTAAATTGCATTTAGTGGAAACATAACATTCAAATACTTTACCAAGTAAACCATTTTGCCCACACAAATGTTCTCATTTAGCGTTTTTGCCCAATCAGGAAAACATACTTTCAGTAATTTTGCATCCAATTTAAATAAATAAATAAACCTTCATGTCTTTTCTTGCCTTGGTGGCTAATTCTATTGTAAAAATAAATATGTATTTTACATGTTGCAATACTGAATAAAAATGATATTATAGCATACTATGTTATATAATCATCAGACATATATAGGGTAAACCGCAAATTCAAAACTGCTCTTTTAGCTCTTTTAGCAAAATGGAAATTCTTTCACATATTCATATCAAAAAGTCCCTGATAAAAAAGCCTCAAAGGGTTAATAACATATTTCGCCAGTCTTTGTGATTTTAAAAGAAAACGATTTTTACTTACAGGTATTGTAGCTTTAAGTTGCTCTGAAACGCCAGCTTCGATACATATGTCAGCCTGCTGTTGGTCACCGTTCTGACAGGGCAAACAATCACATCAGTATCATCAGAGTACTTGAGAACATTAAAAACTGACATATCATCATTACTGATTGCATGAAAAACATTGCAGTAGATTATAGGGCACTTTCTGGGGTATTTAGAATAAGAAAAAAAAGCTTCCAAAAAGAAAACATTTCCAGAAAACAAGCCTACTGATCTGTAATGCATTAGTAGAGAAAGACTTTAGAAAAACGCTGCTGTAAATCAGGACACTACATGTACAATAAAAAGATAAAAAGTCGGTGGAAAGCTGATAGAAATGCATTAAACTTGAAAATCAAATAATCCAAGTTGTATCTATACTGTCTGAAAAAACATAATGAATTTCATAAAAAGTAGTTCATGCAGTTAGCACAAAGTAATCTAAAATCTTAGAATATTTAGATTTGAAGTCATTTCCATTTAACCAAGTTTGTTTCTGGAAGAAAAAAAGTGTAAATATTTGTGAATCTGTTTATCTATTTTGCTTTTATTTAAATCAAATCTCAATTATCAAAGGGAAAATATAACATGGATTTACATTGGGCAGAGCCAAAAAAAAATTTATAAGCAGCAAAAACTGTTTCATTTCAAACTAGCCTAATCAGAGTGTACCAACATAATATATATACAGGTGCTGGTCATAAAATTAGAATATCATGAAAAAGTAGATTGATTTCAGTAATTCCATTTAAAAAGTGAAACTTGTATATTATATTCATACATTACATACAAACTCATATATTTCAGATGTTTATTTTGTTTAATTTTGATGATTACAAATGACAACAAATGAAAATCTCAAATTCATCATATCAGAAAATTAGAATATTGTGAAAAGGTTCAAAATTGATGGCCCCTGGTGCCACACTCTAATCAGCTAATTAACTCAAACCACCTGCAAAAGCCTTTAAATGGTCTTTCAGTCTAGTTCTATAGGCTACACAATCATGGGGAAGACTGCTGACTTGACAGTTGTCCAAAAGACGACCATCGACACCTTGCACAAGGAGGGCAAGACACAAAAGGTCATCGCTAAAGAGGCTGGCTGTTCACAGAGCTCAGTGTCCAAGCACATTAATAGAGAGGCGAAGGGAAGGAAAAGATGTGGTCGAAAAAAGTGTACAAGCAAGAGAGATAACCGCACCCTGGAGAGGATTGTGAAACAAAACCCATTCAAAAATGTGGGGGAGATTCACAAAGAGTGGACTGCAGCTGGAGTGAGTGCTTCAAGAACCACCACACACAGACGTATGAAAGACATGGGTTTCTGCTGTCGCATTCCTTGTGTCAAGCCACTCTTGAACCACAGACAGCGTCAGAAGCGTCTTGCCTGGGCTAAAGAGAAACAGGACTGGACTGCTGGTGAGTGGTCCAAAGTCATGTTCTCTGATGAAAGTAAATTTTGCATTTCCTTTGGAAATCAAGGTCCCAGAGTCTGGAGGAAAAGAAGAGAGGCACTTCATCCACGTTGCTTGAAGTCCAGTGTAAAGTTTTCACAGTCAGTGATGGTTTGGGGTGCCATGTCATCTGCTGGTGTTGGTCCATTGTGTTTTCTGAGGTCCAGGGTCAACGCAGCCACATACCAGGAAGTTTTAGAGCACTTCATGCTTCCTGCAGCTGACCAACTTTTTGGAGATGCAGATTTCATTTTCCAACAGGACTTGGCACCTGCACACAGTGCCAAAGCTACCAGTACCTGGTTGAAGGACCATGGTATCCCTGTTCTTAATTGGCCAGCAAACTCTCCTGACCTTAACCCCATAGAAAATCTATGGGGTATTGTGAAGAAGAAGATGCAATACACCAGACCCAACAATTCAGAAGAGCTAAAAGCCACTATTAGAGCAACCTGGGCTATCATAACACCTGAGCAGTGCCACAGACTGATCGACTCCATGCCACGCCGCATTGCTGCAGTAATACAGGCCAAAGGAGGCCCAACTAAATACTGAGTGCTGTACATGCTCATACTTTTCATGTTCATACTTTTCAGTTGGCCAACATTTCTATAAATCCTTTGTTTTTATTGGTCTTCAGTAATATTCTAATTTTCTGATATGATGAATTTGAGATTTTCATTTGTTGTCATTTGTAATCATCAAAATTAAACAAAATAAACATCTGAAATATATGAGTTTGTATGTAATGTATGAATATAATATACAAGTTTCACTTTTTAAATGGAATTACTGAAATCAATCTACTTTTTCATGATATTCTAATTTTATGACCAGCACCTGTATATATATATAAATAATGGGCCTAACATCCATATTAAAAAAAAAAAAACTAAACACATACTAGATATTCATGAAGCATAATATAATAAATATTGACACCTTAGCATATTTAAAAGCAATAATTTATAGCCCTGGGTAATAAAAACATTAAATGAGTTTAGCTGTTGTTCTTCTTTAGATACAAACCTTTCCCTTAAAAAAAAATACTTCTGAACAGAGGATGAATTCTGTATTTATCATATTTAATAATAATATCTTGAAGTTAATGTTTCATTACTGTGTTTTCATGTCAGTTTATGGTTAATATATTAATAATTAAAATGTAAAATTAGTTAGAACATTCTAGAGAATGACTGCTGCCATCCTATGTTTTAGATTGGAACTGCTTGTTTAACTACATCCACAAGGGGACAATAAATCATCTGGGATGGGCAGCCCAAGAATAAACCAATGATTGGCAAAGGTTGGGCCATGGCCACCCCTTCCCACCCTGTAGCTCCACCCCTGCCCATTACAGAAATAAAATCTTTCTTCTAAGTGCTGACAGGCTGATTTTGGTTGTTTTCAACAGTATTCATGGGGATTTATATTTGTTAATGGGATCCCAATAACTGGAGTTGGATGGCCTCTCTGCCATAACCATTATCTTTACCTCTCTTTACTGATTGAAAATGGGACTCTGGCCATAGAGCTCTTCCGTAAATCTGCCAGAGGTCCGAAAAAATATGGCATATTGGGACACTCTTGTGTAAACAATGTGTACTTGGGTTTAAAAAGAACCATATTAATTTAGTCACCATCCGCGTAACTGAGAACAATGTCTTTATTACAGCAATAAAGCTTGTCCTTTTTCTTAATAAAAGATTGCTTTATTGGTCTTCAACAGATGAGCAATAATTATCGAAAATAGGTTCACTTTATGTAACACAAAGCTAGGAAGCACCAACAGGCCCAGGTCTGAGATTCAAACTGAACTTAGTTTTATTAAGAACTAGAAGTCTCTTCATGCTGTGAACATGTTCTGTAACTGAGTCCAAACATTATATGAATATATATCAGCTAAACACATACACTTGGTATTAATTTCTTAAGCTAAAATAAGTAGTTATACCTATTAACTAGTTAATAAATATGTTTATAAACTGTTAAAACAAAAAGACTGTATTTTGACACAGAATTTTACACATTTACAAATAAATGTTCTTTCTTGATATAATATCAAAATGGACTCACAGGTTCCTGAGGTTCTTGTAGTAGTGCAGGTCTTTGTCGTTAATGGAGGAGAAGCTGCTCTGATTTGCGATGTAACTGTCGGGGAGACAAGCGTGCATAACACAAAGATAACTTGTTAACACGGGGAAACGTAGACAGAGACTTGTTGACAAGACATGTTAAGCCTTCATAAACACAGATCTTTTTTTTTTTTAATACATTTTTTAAGTGACTGCAAATGATGCACAGCGCACATGGAAATGTTGCTGCATAGCTTCTTAGAGAGGGGAAGCAGATGTGTCCTCGACCTTTTTCCACAGCAGGATCTGAGCAAAACACTTGACCCGTTTGTGTTTGAGGGACCAGCAGGAGATGCTTTGCGAGCAGCTCCCATGTGTGCCTGAAAAGCACTGAGTGAGCATGTTCTGAAGAGCAATATATGTACTTCTCATATAATACAGCTATGGGATTAGATGTCTAACATTTCAAGCTAAGCAAAACACTAGGAGAAAGCCAAGAATGGGTTTTTCACTGAGATACAAGAGCTGTATAGCAGTGATTGCTGTTTGGCTTAAATACTCTGGCTATCTCCACATAAAACCCTCTGGAAATCAGGCTTACATTTACTATTTTATTCTTTATTTCTTTGCTTTTTCTAATCATGCACAGTAAGTAAAAAGATTTTGAATGAAACATTTACATTTTAGTGTATGTAGAAATGTTCATACAGATAAACATTGTTTCAGTCATTTCTCAGCTGATCTACAACAGTAATAGATTATATTTTCTTCAAGCACAGGTAAATATTGGGTCCTTAGAGGTGCACAGCAGGATAAATAGTTGGCTGATTTGACGTGCATGGTCATAATTATATGCCTAATCTGTTCATTTGTGCTTGTTTGAAATAATAAAAGCCATAAAATGTGCAAATCTTTTCTGTATAAAAAGTGTTTTGAAGATAAGGTATAAGGTAACGATTGATGCTCTAAGCAATATTTCATAAGTCTATGTAATATCTTTTTTTTATGCCATTTTAATGATTAAATACATTTTGCATTGAATTTCATTGAATATATTGGCCAAGAAATAGCATTTTGTAAAATTATGACAGATATAACACTTCATTACCCACTGCATTCTAGAGTAATTGCCCAGTTTGGACTGGAAGCTCATTAAATGTTGACCAAGTGCTGACATCTCGATGCACATAATAAAGAAAAAGAAAATCAGGACATGTTAGCAATTATTAGAGACCAGTTAAACCATCTTCATGGCTTTTTGCAAGGTCGTTTTGGGTTTAAACTGCAGCCAAACGCTCTATGATTGCTTCCCTTGCTCATTTAAACCGCCTCCAAGGCTTCTCCAAGGCCAGTGATAAGGATTGCTTCTATCTGACTTAAGTCATATCAACAAGGCCGCTTTTACCTATGCCAAATTTTTTTTAAAAAATCTGCTTTTCTTATCTAAAATGCACTTCAGCTCCAAAGGCAAATGTATATACAATTTTTTTTCTTTGAGTAAAAAAAAAAAATCGTTGCATGAACAAAATCCCCCTTCAGCATCCTGATCATTCAAACGAACTCCTATTATCCATCTTGTGAAGTGTCTGTGCCAATATTTGGACTGTGGTGTCTGATGAGAGCGCAGCCAAACCACACAAACGCAAACAGTGGTGGACCGCTTCTTATGCATGAAGCCAATCAGAGATAAGATTTGTTTTAAACAGACTTCCTGTGAATGATGAGTGATGCTCTCCGTGATGACAGACAATTAAGTGTGTTATGCAATGCAAGTTAGGCACTGTAGGTCTCCTGCTTACATTCCCGGACAATCAGAAACAATAAGGAGCAATAAGACTCATGCATGATTTTTTTAAATCCTCTCCATCCTGGAAGCGTCCTATAGTATCCAGAGGCTGCTTTATGGACTGGCATGTCTTTATTCGTTAGGAAAGAGGCTAAACTGAGATGCGGTGCTGTCATCTTCCACACTCACATGTCGGTGATGTTCTCCATCTCCGCCTCGCTCTGCAGGACGGGGAACGCGCTGATCCCCCGCTCCGGATCCACGCAGGAGATCCTGCTGCTGCTGCAGGAGCAAGTGGAGGCGCATGGCTCCGTGGACATCCACGGCTCTCCCGAGCTTACAGTCACCCCGACCGTCACGACCCACCACCAGAGGCACTGCCACGAGCCAGAGGTCCCCAGAGCCGAGGGGAGAGCCCAAATACCGGCTCCCGAAGCGCGCATCTCGGGTGTGCCGACTCTCAGCTATAAGGCTCACAGAAAAGCCCCACGGCCCGGCCCAGGTTGGCTGGGATCAGCCCCGGTTCGGCCAGTCAAGAAGGAGAGAAGGGGGGAGAGATAGGTGGAGGTAAAAAAAAGAAAAAAAAGAAAAGCAGAATCCGATGCTGAAGAGAAGAGACGCGGTAAGGAGAGGCTAGAGGACCATCAGAGCGCACCGAGATGACAGACGAGACAGAGAAAAAGGTGTGAAAAGAATCAGAGGAGCTGCGTTTTCCTCCAGAAGCATCCGTCAGACAGTCAGTCAGTCAAAGTCTCACTGCCACAGGGGCGCTGTGTGCCAAGCAGGAGCTCCCCCCTTCTCCCTCCCTCTCTCTCTCAGATGTCACTGACCGGAGTGTCCTCGGCACAATGTTCTCTGTGTGCATAAATGTCTGCTGCTGCTGCTGGTTTGCTAGCTGCTCGGATGAAATGCGCGGCGCGCAGAGATGAAGTCTAGGATGAGGACAGATGAAGGAGGAGACATGCATGGGAGAAGGGGAGGATTGGTACCTGCATCAAAGCGGATCATGTTTAAAGGGAGATGCTATTGATCTCTGGTAAAAGAGGAGATGCTCCTTGGTCTGTTCTTAGGAGGATCTTGGAAATATTTCATTGCTTTAAGTCGAATCAGCAACATGGATGCCTCTATGAAGCTGGATTAAATTTTTGTTCATGAGCTATCAGCTATTTAAAACAAGGTTCCCCTAGTTATTGGTGGTACTTGTCCAAAATTGACCCTCTGTCCCCTATCCATGGTTTGCTTGGATACGTGAACAAGAATTGACTATACAGCTGAACATGTTTTGCTTAACCCTCATAAAATCCTCATTAGTTAGATAATTACTAGAACTAACACCTATGAAGAGGCAAAATTAGGCTGAGCTTTCAAGAAAGAGAACCACCCTGTCAAGGGATCACACTTGAAAAAAGGCAAAACAGTTTAATTGAATACGTAAATGAAAACGATAAGAAACAAATAGTCAGCTGCATGATTTAAACAATAGAAAAGCTAATCCAAGGGTGAAGAAATGTAGGTGAGCCAACAGAAAAAAACAAATAAATAAATAAATAAATAAATAAAGCTGTTGAATTAGTCTCTTTATGTGATAAACAATATTAGTCAGGAAATAGTGATGTCCAGGATGGGGGGGCCTGAAATGATCCTAGGATGGATTCAAGTGTGGAAGTTTGACAGAAATGTTGCTTCTCTGTATCAGAAAAAAAATCAATTGATGTGGTCCAGGCATCTCATCAGGGTGTCTAAATGAACTCTTACTTCCATCCATCCGTCCATTTTCTTACACACTTATCCCAAGTGGGGTCGCGAGGGCAAGGGACGGGGTACACCCTGGAGGGGTCGCCAGTCCATTGCAGGGCAACACAGAGACAAACATGACAAACAACCATTATCACACACACTCACACCTAAGGGGAGTGTAGGGAAGCCAATTAACCTAACAGTCATGTTTTTGGACTGTGGGAGGAAGCCAGAGTACCCGGAGAGAACCCACGAATGCTCAGGGAGAACATGCAAACTCCATGCAGAAAGACAAACGCTTACTTTTGGAGGATTAATACCACCAAGAGGATACTACACAAGTGGAAGAACCAGAACAAGGTTCTGCCACTTGTGGTGTGAATATATATCCGTCTTGCTTCAGAGTACCTTGGGGATTGCCCGAAATTACATATAGATGGTTTGCAGGGAGACGGATGTCAGTGTTTCCTGACCTGGACCTGTTACTCCATCACATGACAGACAAATAAAGAAATGTTAGCAATCACCAATCTTTTTCAGTTGCTCTTATGGGTGTGCTGTACAACAGGAGATCCAAAGCAGCAGCTTTGTTTTCTTACTCCTTACACCGACACTGGCTTTCCCTACAATACTGACAGAGGTAGATAAAATCTCCCTTAAAGACTTTCTCTCATATTGCTGCCGTGAGATCATTGCCTGAATGAGATTTAAGAGCCTGTCAATTTAAAGGCTGTAATTGTCATAATCGTTCTCATCAACACTGTGGTTGTCATTATTATCATTCGGTTGTCACGCTGGGCCTCTCTAAACCTGCATACAGTTAATTAACTCAAATCAAAGCTGTCCAAATTAGACTGTGTGATTCTTTCACTCAAGTACAATTGTTCAAATCATTATGAGGGAATGATAAGAAAATATAATGGAAGGTAATTTACATGCAAATATTCAGCTAAACAACTTTTGCAGACTCCTCAATGAAAGGACAGTAGCCTAAACTTCCAGGCAAGACATGAATGAATGGCAAGACAGTGAAACTAGTTGCCAGTCATCAAGGTTTTTATCTGAGGCTCATAGCTTTACTGACTCGAATCTATATGTCATCACAGAGTGGATGCCAGTCACTCTGCAGAGACACATCTCTTTCAGCTGGCTGTATATCTAATAAGAGCGGATCTATCGTTAAGACGGCTGAGGGACTGAAGGACAAAGCTACTTCTCTTTAATCCGTCACCTTGCAGCTGAGGGACAGAGGATGACAGCACATCTGCCTAAGAGCAGCAGCAGCAGCCACCCCAACATACTGCATCATGTAAGGATGCCTCTCCAGCGTCCTGTCTCTCCCTGTGCAGCTCAAACATGACGTTTGCACTGACGCACAGCCAGTGCTGCTGAATAGGCAAGCGTAATTACGGAGCTCTGTCTGTGTCTTAACCAATCTGGATGCCTGCCTCAGAAACTGAGTGTACACGTTCCACACAGACAGAACATGGTGGGCGGACCAATTAAGTCACTGTAACACAAACAGAATACTCCAGTTGCTCTCTGTTCCATCTGAAATCTGACAGAGGTCGTAGCTTGAGTTAAAGGTCTCTGACATTTAACAAAGTAATATGTGCTGACACATAAAACACCAATTATTATCAAGTTCTCGGTCATGATATATCACAAATAAGGTTTTAAATCATGCAGGGTCTTTACTCTTTCTCCACCCTGCAGGTACAAATTAAAATGTTAATGTCAAACGTTAAAACTGTGTTAGCAATCGGCTCCTAAATAGTTCAATCAAAGCTTTTAATTCAAATGTGTCTTTCATGTGAGTATTCTGTTGGTAATTTGGTAATATACATACCCATATATACATGTATCTCAGTGTGTGTGTGTTTTTTTTTTAAGTGTAATGTTCTTTTTGAAACCTAATCTAATCTCCTCTTTTTTAATATTTTCAAATCTTATTAAATCACTATTGTGATTTTGATTTCATTGTTTTAATATTCAGATTTTCTGCTTTGCAATCTAAAACGAATGCTTTATTTTGCAACTCAGCTTGCAGTGAGCACTCCACGGCTCACCTGTGGAGGCACTATATAGGAAGCAGTATGCAAAGTCTATATAGGAAGCAGTATGCAAAGACTAAATTGGGGAATAATGTCAGTATGCTGATGCTGCTGAGTGTCCCATGAAGGAGAGCCAGATCTTTATGGATGCTGGTGCGTCTACCTACCATGCGGCAATGCGTGACTTATGTATTGTAGGCTATGTGTAGTCTGACTAAATCTGCATCATCTCATCACTGATGAACCCATGACTGAGTTTAGTGATATACTTTTCTTATCTTATAGACTCACAGGGGTATAAACTTTATAGAAAAGCATTTAAATTCTGTGTTCTTGTTGATTTTCTGTCTCTGTAGGGATATTGTGTCTAAAATATGGTGAAGTAGTAAATATAGCTGTGGTTAAATGGATGATTACTTTTACTTCTGTATCACCATTGCATATGAATTCATTAATCCGATGAATCGTGATTAATCGATTATTTAAATAATTGTCAACTAATTTAGTTATCAGTTAATCATTAAATGGAGTCTAGACTGTAAAATATGCCTGTGGCTCTTATAGCGACCCACTTAGAGCAGCAGTTATATCACGTTTGTAAAAAAAAAAAAACATGTACATTTTGCATCTAGGATTTTATTTTCACCTGGTTTCATTAAGTAAAAAATCTTCTTTAAGAAACCTTTGGTTATCCGATTATTAATTGATTAATCAAAAAAAAATTATCGACAGATTGATTTGCAAAATATTTTTTAGTTGCAGCCCTAAAATCGTGTTTCCATAATTAACAAATGTGTTTGTTGCTTTTAGTTGACTTTGTTAACATCATCTATTACATTACACAGCTAATATCAGCTGTGTAATTCATTCCAGTGTTTCCATCAGTCACTCGGAAGCCTAATCCAAATGATACTGGTATGATGTAATAGCTTTCTTGTTACATCAAAGTTATCTGTCTGCTTTTTAACAGGATACCAGAAACTAATGTTGTATGAAAGTAACCTGTTTAAATATAATGATATGGGATTTAATGGTATTTTGTGTTTAATCACAGTTTACAATGTTGTTGCATCGGCATTTAAATCAACTTTTCTCTTGGATCATTAAGTCTATCATAGCTGCTGAAGTCCCCATGTAGAGCTGAAGGGATTAATCTGATTAAATAATAAAATAATTTGTAGATAGTTTGTTTATTGAATAAACATGCTCATATATTATTCCTGCCTTTTTGTTTTTTTTGGTTTCATAAAAAAATAGTTCTGATGTTGAGGTGAAATTCCCAGTCCTTCATGACAACCAGCTCTGTTTTAAATGAACGCCACTTTTATTTTTAATCCTTGTCTTAATAGATCCAAATGTGTTTAACTGGTTATTGATCAGCTATCCGCCGCTTCATGTTATATTTGTTATATTTGATGATGCGTAATAAAGGCTCCATTGCTGCCTAAAAATCAGGTATGTTTGTATTTCAGTGACTGATTTTGCTCTTTGAAATGTAATTGCCATTAAATTGTTTTCTATTTTGTAAAAAAACGAAGTATTCTGCATTTTCTCTGCAGTTTTATAATGAAAAAGCTATTTGTTTTAATATTAACTTACTAGTTTAGCGTTTCAATCACACAGTTAACTCTTGTTTCTTCACAAATACATGTTATTAAAAAACATGTAAATGTCCTTTCATATGCATTCAGTGCATGGTTATATTAGAGATTGAGAGTACTGGCTTAGACATAGAAAAATAAATATAGTAATTTGTAAAAACTGCCCCCCTTAAATAAAATCTTGTTTTAAA